AGGAGGGCTGTGAGATGCATTTTAGGCGGCTGGTAGATGTGGTTTATTATTAATTGGATTCGGAATGTGGGGATGTTGTTGGTGGTGTGGAAATAAGCATGTATACTACATGTGTTCCCAAACAGCTCCAACCTTTCTTCCACCTCCACACCACACACGTCCACGGGTACCTTGCGTACCTCCAGCTTCTCTTCCCTTCCCTTCCCGCATCGCCTCACCTCACCTCACCCACCCACCACGCACACACAAGCCGGCCCATTCCCACCCACCACACGCATCGTTTCGGCCCGTTCGCGTCTGGTCTCCAAGGTTAGTCTGTACCTAGGTATATAGGCTGAATAGCCAGCTCTAGCACCTGGGCAAAACCGCACATCACCACCTCCATCTGTCTCTACTGCTTACTGTGGGTACCTAGGTATTCGTTACGCGGAGAAGAGCCGTGGCAATGACCTGCAGCTGTCAACGGCAGTTGGATGCGTCTGCATTCCCGGCCATGGGAAGCGGGAGAGTGATGAGGGAGGGAGCGTTTTGGGTGGGCGGGAGGATGGGAGGATATGGTGACGATGATGTTGTACATACGCGTATTAGGTTTCGCGCCGTTGGAGTAGAGCGGTTTTAGTGTCGTGATAGATTGCTTGGGTCGACGATGGTAGCTGGTAGCCTCGTTTCGAGTATCTGGTCGCCACTTGACGGCTTTTGGTAGTGGTTTCCAAGGTTGTCGCATGAACATTCACCGCCTTTCTTCCCTGTCCTGTACAGTGGTTCCACGGTTGTTTCTCGGTCGCTCGATCCTACTTAGTTACCTAGACTTGCACGTCGCAATTCTGGCACGAGTGACGAGGCTGTACATGAGGTGTAGAAGACCAGTTTGAAGGGTCTTATCCTGGGTGGAATGTTTGGTGTATGGATTGGTGTTATGGCGCCATCTCTGGTGTACTGTATTACCTCGACCTTTCCAATGGTTCGGGTTCCGATCTGTTCTTGTTGTGATTTGTAGTACTATTTAGGTAGGAGGCTGGAGGGCTGATTCACATCTGGGCGCCTCTGGGCATCACATTGCGACTTTTGGTGCTGTGCGGTGAGTTGGGGCGGTGGGGTGGGATGGAAGTGTCGTGCGATGGAGGTGTTGTTGCTGGCGTTGTTGGTGGTAGTGCCCAGGTGGTAGTGTGCAGAAACCACTGCCATGTGTGAGTATTGTCGGACCTGGTACCTGGGAAATATGAGGCTGGAGGAGAGTCCCGATATTTACCCGTAGCTGTGGCCCAAGGTGATCTGGGTCGGCGGTCAGTGGGCAGTGATACAAGAAGGCATGTCTGTCGTAGTCCTGTCCGTGTCAGCTGTTATTGCTTCTAGTAGCTATTTACTTCACTCTTCATGGCACTCGTAAACTTCGAAATGTTGAAATTTGTACTTGTACGCTACCTAAAGTAGGTATCAGCGCAGATGTCCGATTTCATGCTGATATTAGGCTATCACGCCATCGGTGTCCTCTCTCTTTCTCTCTCTCTATCGTCATGTCTTTGCCTCTCTTCCCCCTTTGGCAGTCATCTCATACGTCTCTTCTCGAAGAATCCGTCCTTTCCAGAGGTGACCGGTCATGGCGGACTATCGCACCTCTCTAAAAACCGCAGCACTCAAGCTACACCCAGATATGTTAGCAAAGCGTTCCTTGATGCCCTTGTCCCTCTCATTCACCCCCTCCAGTGCTCTCTAAGCCCTCCTTCTTCTAGATTCGACTAGGAAATACGTACACCGCAGCTAGTACAAGGCGCAGGTGGGCAAACACAAGGCCCATTGAAGTTGGTGGAGCAGCACCCTGGGATTTGGCGTGGTAGCAGATCGCCTTCTGCCATCGCTTTGATGGAGCCGTCGGCTTCGAAGATGTCGATGGCGAAGGCGGTGCTTGCACACAGGGCGGTTAGAATGGCGGTGAGCTTCATGGTTGGCTGTTTTTGTGGTGGGCGCGTGTGGATAGTAATGATGTTGTTGGGACGAGATGTCGATGGCGGTCGTGGTGGTCGTGGTGCATGTATTTATATTCACCTACCTATCTGCTGTACAACGACCTGCATACAACCTTTGTTACTGCTTACTGTATTCCGCTTCTCCCGACGTATTTCGTATCGCATGGTATATCACCACGTACGTATGTACATGAGTGTTGATCCCCCTCTCTCTTTCCTTCGGCCCGTCGTCGTACGAGCTCGTCGCTAACCTGGGTAATATAGGCTGAATAGCAGCTGGGCGGACTGAGCATCGTCATTCTTCTATCTTTACTGCTCCTCAACCTGGTGCTTCTCTTCTGCATGTCATGCATCCTGATCAAACATTCTTTCCGTCCGCAAAGCCAAGGTTTGGTTTATCGTGATGCTTTCTCGCCTGATACGCACATGCAGTTCTGGAATATCGGGTTGAAACGAAATGTCTTTCGTCATCGTCGTCGTTACTGCGGCGAGTTGGGGTATTTGAGGACTTGATCGCCAGCGCTTTATTCGTGCTACATGGATGTCGCTTGCTCGGGTTGATAGCTGAAGATGATGCGCACAGCATGCGAGCCTCGGAGTGCCGTTTGAGACCTTTGGTCGCGTCTTACTGGAATATGTTAGTGCTGTTGCTAGTAGCCATCTGATGTTACGTCATGTACACATGCATTCACTAACCCACGAATAGTGCTAACGACTACTACCACACGCAAGATGCGATAAATATACTCCAAAGCATACATGAAGACGCGGAATTTCTTGGCGTAACGACCACTGCGATGCAAACATTCACCGCTACCTTTCCTGCAGGGTCCTTCCTCGGTTACATCTCGGCTGACTAACTTTAGGGCTTACATTAATTATGCCACGGTTTGATTTGCTCGCTCTTCATGAAATCGCCAGTGTTTCCATCGTTCCGTAGAACCTTGAGATGCGATACGGCGATACGACGTGTATCAATCGTGGCGTCATGATTGGCATCATGTCACCACCTCAGGTTTACCGCCTCTTCCTCTCCAATACGGTTCCTGTCCCAACCTCTCGTCCACGAAGCGTTCAGGTAGACCGATGCCTTTGCTGGAATCGTACTCTCCACTGAGTTGACAATCCGTGCACAGCGCGCCCAGCTCATTAATTCTAGCTCTCGCTTCTGTGTATCGCTCATTCTCTTCTTGGAACCGGGTCTTCATGTCTTTGAGTATGGAGGCTAGATGTTCCTGCCGCTCCGAGGTTACCTCAATCCATATCTTTGGACATTCTTTATTGTCGCTGTAGCGCGATGGCTCCCACTTGATGTCTTCGTTCCAGCCCCAGTTTCGCTCCGAGCTTATAGGCCCGTACCTGCTGAACATGTTGTATAAGATGATGGATGTCTGGATCCCCTCGGCGGCAGCGGCTCGGCTGATCGATGCCAAGCTGTCCAGCCAATCTTCCTTCCAGTCCAGGAGCGGAAGTTCGACACGCAGGTGCGCGAGCTGGGGGAAGGCTGTCCGCTTGTTCTGCACCACTAAATCGAGTGCCGGGAGTAAGCACTTTGGGACAAATTCGACAACCTTCTTGTGGTCTATATGCTGGTTCTGGGCTCGTGTTATCCAGAGTTCTTCAAGGTTCTTGGGCAGCGTGGTCCAGAGTCTATCTCTCGTTTCGGCGATGTCGAACATCTCCTCGTTGGTGGTCTTGCGGTGGCCCCATATGTACACGGGGGCGACTTTAAGGCGACGCAGAGCCGTGAAAGAAGAGAATGAACACGGATAAGCCTTTCCGCGCTCGGCGCTTTCGTCGTCAAGGTAAGGGTAGAAGTCTTCGTGGCTTAACCCCAGCGTTTCCAGCGTCTCGTGATGTGGCTCCAGGCTTCGCATCATCGCCGGATGCTCCGTGTCGCACCATGCCCACGGGCCTCCAAGCTCGTAGTTGAAGGTCTTGAGTCTTCCGGGTATTGTCGCGTTCAACATGCCTTGGAAATTTTCCATGTCAAGCTTTGCGCATCGCAATTCCAGATACTCTATTGGGCATGATCGTGGCTCCAGCTTCGAGAACAGGGCATTCTCATCGTGAACTTCGCTGTCGCCGTGCTTCCATCCGTTTATAGAGCGCACATTAGGTAGATGGAAGAAAGCTGCGACGTGACTGGTGTCGCTAGAATACTTGTCGTCTGCTCCAGCAACCAGGATATCGATAGGCTCTGACATTGCGTGTGGATTCCCACGGATGACCCTGGGCAGCAACGAGACGAAATCATCATGGCCATACAGGTCGCAATTGATGTTCAAACGTCGAAGTTTCGGGAGGCCTACGAGTAATAGCGCCATAATAGCATCCTCATTCTTGGCCGACTGGATCTTCCCATACACATCTTCAGCCTCTTCGACGGTGGAAGTGTACTCCGCGCACTTCTGCCTCAAGATTTCGTGGACTCCAGGATCATCAGATTTTGGCCAGGATCCGTTGGAATATCTATCTTCAACATCTGCCCAGGTACGAGGCACGATGAAGGATTTGACAAGACAGGCATGGGCGGGGGAAGTGAAAACCAAGTATGCAAGAGCGGCAAGGTTGTCGGTCTCTTTCAGGTAAATCTCTGAGTACAACCATGGCGTCGCAAGCCGATTGAGTGTTCTGGAAGTACGGCATAGGCTGAGGAGAGATTCGCGTGTGGATAATGAGACAACGTGTTCAAGAAGCTCGGTGGGAAGCTTCTCCTCAATAGAGAGTGACATGGCAAGAACAACGACTTTGCAATGGCAGTTCGCTGGAATGGAGAAGAGGAATCGATAGCCATCTTGAAATTCGGAGAAGATTTTATCGTTTTGTTGTTAGCTGTTGCTCGTTGTGCAAGGCCGCCAGGGCGTATCGGATGCCGGCTTGGCATCTTGCTAGACAGCTGCTTACGTGACGTCATCGCCACGTCGCCCAATCACCTGGAGTTTGCTGCCTGAATCATCCACTCTTCATAGATCTAAAACTTTCTGATTTGAGAGCTAAGTACAGATCACCACTGTCTGCCTTCGCTATCCTCTTCTAGTTCGTAGTGGCCCCAAATGGCCATCCATTAAGATCGATATTGAGCAACCTCCCCAACCTAATCTCCTCGGCACGAGACTTGAGATCGTCGATATCCCAATTACACCACAAGAACTTGCCCTTGAGGAAGCGAGCCTCTGGGGTCGAGAGCCAGAGATTGAAGCTTGCTGGGAGAGTGACTACGTCAAATCGATTAGTCTCATCGCAGTATGCAGTAGAGTCACAGAACTTACCATCATCAGTCTTGACATGTTTGAAGCTCTCTGACCCACCGACTCTACGGTTCATCTCCGTCAACACAACGCCAGGCTGGGTATGGAAGACACTAAGACCGGGTTTCGCAAGGAGGACCATGTCCCACAAGCGGTAAACAGCCATCTTCGCAACGCAGTAGGACGCGTAGGCATCGTTTAGACTCAAATGGGCGCCCCAGGAGTTGATAGCAACAACATGCGCATCGGGTGCAGCATGGCGTATGAAAGCTTTCGCAACCCACAAAGAGCCCTCAATATTATCAGTGACGCCCTTGAGAAACTCTCTTGCATCAACCTCAGCGAAGTCCTCAGTCGGACCAATGACCGCAGCGGCGTGAATAAGAGTGTCAATCTTGCCCTCTCTCGCGAAATTGTCAAAAGCCGAATTGACAGATGCCTCGTCGGTAACATCCGTGCTTTGGATAAAGACCTTTGTGCCAGGACACTCTTTCTCGATAAGCGCTTTGTTCTCGAGCAGCGGACCCTCGCGGCGTCCTAGGAGACCGATGCGTGCGGCACCTGCGCGGGCGAAGAAACGTGCTGTCTCTCCTCCGATGCCGGTGTTGCCTCCTCCAGTCACGAGAATGGATTTGCCTTTCTGAGAGAGGGCTGGAAGGCTGGGGTCGCCGGCGGGTTGGGCTTTGTTGTGCCAGCGCTGGACTGGAGATGGGAAGGGAGGAGTGGAGGATACCATGGTGACATGGATGAGGTTTTGGTGGAGAATGAAGGATGGGTTGCTGCGTGACTTGCGACTGATACCACTTAGAAAGATGCGAATGTCTTGGATGTTCTTAGGAGAGGACGACCCATCATTCTTATAATGTTCTTGTTCCCCGGTCGGGGAAAGAGACACGGCGGAGTTCACGAATCCCGACGTACAAATTGTTCCGCCCGACACTAGTGAAATCCGACCGTATTGATCCTGTTTCGCATGGGGTGTCGCTTTCGCCGGTTGGTATGTCATGCATACTTGTACACAAATACTCATTGATATCTTGCTGTTTATATGTCTCGCTAGAATCCGTCAAGCTATGTCGCTAAGCCATTGAGGCCGTGAGCATGATCAGGCCACCCATGCTGTCCATACCAGAACACCATTCAGCCCAACAGGCCGCGCTACGACTAGCTCTACTCGTATGAATCTGAGATGGCGTCTCGTCACTTGATGGAATGTATGGCAACCACGCATCGCGGCAGGACAATCGACGATGATCCAACTCTATAATCTCACCATCCACAGCCAGCGCAAATGATGTCTCTTCTCGCGGCTCGTTCTGCCGTTGTCTTTGCCACTCCTCCGCATCCCGTGCTTCCCAGAGTTGCCGTTTAGCGGGCAGAGGCGCAATCACAAACTCAGTGGGCATGTCACACATGGCTGCTGGGTCGAAGAAGACGAGCTTGTTCAGGACGCGATAGATTACCGCGAGTCTATCATGGGTTTTAGTGAAGGAATATGGAACGGTTATCGGAATGATCAATGTACCTTCGCCTGGATTCTTTGTAAACCCAGTCTTGCCAGCTGTTAGTTGACTTGCTGCGACATAATACGTCATGCGTATGGCAATCAAAATCGTCGCGAGAAAGTTGGATTGCGACGAGCTAGAACGAATATCGTTAGATGTGTTTCCTAAACGTGCGGACATATTGGACTCACAATGACTGCCCTCTCTAAAAGATAATCCAGATTATTATGCTCAGTCTCGCCTTCGTCGATGCGAATCAGAATGTAGACCGAAAGAGCTTGCATAGCACCTAGTAGTTCCCATTTGTTTAGAGTTTGGTTCTGGTCACAGATGCGTTCACACTCGGTTCTCACATTCCGCCAGAAGAGCTTTCGGCTGCCTTTCACTCGGTTCGCCATCATGTGCATCAACGCGATGCAATTCTCAAGTGGTTCTATTGTTGTCCCTTCATCCATGAACGACACATAGCTTGGATGTATGAAAGGTGGCAGGTCATTTTGCTGCAGCATCAGCGGATAAGACTTTAATGTGTAGAAGATGAGACTGGCCGCTCTTTCCGCTTCGTGGTGCATCTTTGGTCGTTGTATCATTGATCTGACGTTCGAACTAGGGCCGGGTGAGATGGCAAAGCACAAAAATTGTTGTCTCTGAGTTCGATGTTGCCGCTCCCGCTGACGAGTAACTTCATTCTGTTCGTCGGAGATTGGGCCTGTTAATTCCAGCAACGATGAAGGAGGCGTAATGGTCGTCGGGCTGGCTGATCCTGGTGAAGATGATGTGACTGAAGGGAAAGCCGACTGAGGCGTAGGTATCATGTAGTCGTCAAAAGCCGTCATATCGTCGAGGCTCCACTGTAGGTCTTCGAACACGGGGTCAAAGCTGGTCAATGTAGTAGCCAGAAGACCTTGAGATTGATCGGCTACAGTTGGCACAATCGAGTTTGCATGACCGTCAAGGGGATTGTCCAGGTGGTCGGAGGTAGCATGACGCACAGCATGACGCTTTTGCCTTGTAGATCTGGAAGGATAGTGACACATGAGACCCCTTCGGATACAACGCGAACATCCTGGTAGTGCGTTATTGCACGCGGTCTTTGCCTTTGCGCAAGCCGCACACGATCGCCGTCTCTGGACAGAGGCTCTCGTGTTGGACCGACAATAGTAACCATGACGTTTCAATGATGATTCTTCGAGAAACGGTCAGTCCAATAGTCGTTGTCGCAAAGTTGGAGCAGCACGGCAAAGACACTGACGTTTGGTAAACGGCTTGTTGCACTGGCGGCACCAAAGCACACCCGCAGGTACCTGCTCCGCCATCCGGGGCTGATCTGAAGGCGAAGATGGTGGTTTGTGACACTCACGAGACAGCTGGTTCGGGATAAATTGAAGGCAAAAAAGCATTTGGGTGGCGTGAAAAAGAAGCCTGGTCGTGACAAGCACAAGGTATCTAGGTAGTCCCGAGGTTGGTGTGGTTGTTGCTGACATATGCGGCAGGGACGCGCCCCACCTGCATCCTTCGGCCGGTACAAATTGTAATTCCCACTTGGGTCAACATGACGCTAGCGCATCGACGTGAAGTACTTCCCAACATAAGACTATTTCGGGCCCGCACGCTCATTATAGGTACTTCACGGTCTGATGTTCAGCCTTGGAATGGCTATTTGCGTCGGTTAACCTCGTGACCTCGGGAGTCTCGCACAAAGATGAAGTACATGAGTCTGTTTGGTGAGACACCAGGTGCACTACTTTCCAATTGAACGAGTGTGTATCTAACAACCAGCCGTCATAAACCGCTATCACCCCTTCTTCCCCCTAGTTTCAAAACATCCCTTCATCCCCCTCTAGCTACGGTAGTTAACCGTCACATGGCACTTATCACAGTTACCAGTTCCATAGCTACCATGCGACTTTCCACAGTGAGCCAAGATATACTCGGCCTTGTCCTTGATAACCTGACCCCGCACTGCCTGCTGGCCAGAGCCGTTGGTTGCGTACTTGATGAAGCAGCTGCCCTGCGAGAACTCTTGCTGGTCGTTGTAGTACGTGTTTACATCGATTCTGGCGATGCCGACGTAGCATTCGCTTAGGTTGGGGGAGCGGCTGGAACCGTCGCAGCTGGGAGGATGGGTTAGGATGGGTGGGGATGATGGGTTGATGTCTGAGGGGTGGTAGGAAGGGGAAATGGCTTACTTGTCGGAGTAGGCAAGAGCAGTGCTGCTGAGAGCGAAAAGGGCGAGTGCGATTCTGGCGAACATGATTGCGGAGTGTTCTGGGTGTTTGTGATGGTAATGGATGGGAAGTTGATGTGTTTGATGTTTCTAAATCGCTGTGCGGACGCAGTATTTATAGACAAAATCTGTACGTACAGGAGGGCTCGCACACGCCACCCCTAGCTGACTATACCACGCTGTCCTTACTATTCTGTAAGTGAAGATACCGGTGAAGGTGCGTCGTTGCTGATGTGCATGATGCCATCAGGCATGCGTGTTTGGGATGAGGCCCCCCATATGCTCGATGGACACGCTTCGGCTACAACTCCGATCTGGAGATCATGTCCCTAGAATGTCGGTTTAGAGCCTCTATGATCCGTCTCCTTTGGTGATGCAGGAGTAACCACCCGGTGAAACCTCGCGAATTACAATGTCTCCGCAGCATAGGTTTTGACAGAAGCAGTCTGCCTTCCGTACTTGATGTGACACACAGTAAGCACAGCCTTACGTCTTGGAGTGCACGTGAGAGTCCGTAGCACATTGCCAACGAGAGATGCAATCGGAAGGTCCTCCGCCATTAGACGGAAGCGTAGAGACGTGTTGAGAGATCCGCCCACTTCGGGTAATCCGGGAAGCGCCGATCAGGAACGAACGCCTGATCCGGTCGATCGCAGAACCTAGCATCACGAAGGCGCATTAGTTCTGGTATCCTGAAGTTACAATGCAGTAATATGATGCAAGTAAGCAGGAAGCACATCACCTCTCGTTGGCCAGGTTGGTAGTGGAAGGTAGTGAAGGTTTGCGGGCCGTAGTGTACATGCGGTACAGCCTTACGGACGTACGGCCCCGGCATTAGCTTGATGTAAGTGCATTAGTATCCTTCCCAAACACGATAAGCTTCCGAAGGGTCCAAAAGCTTGTGGCGCTGATGAGCCATGCAGGCTGCAGTGACACAGCATTTGCTTTTGCAGCAAGCTCATCGAAGAAGAGCATGAGGCTGACTCAGACCCCGACCTGGTCTTCGTTTATGCTGGCCACCGAAGCTTTACGTCAAATTGATGGTCGTACTGATATCCAATTAGAGTTATCATAAGCTTTCCAAACAAGCTACGGAGAAGCATTGCCCAGGAACGGCTAAACGAGTAAACGAGGGGCGCGAGGTGATATACACCAAGGCTATCGTGTAAAAGGCGGGGAACTAGGCGCTAAGGCATCTTAGTGGATCGTGAGGTACGCTTTAGTACTGAAAAGTCAGGTGTTTGTGATGAAGTGGCCGCAATGGGCTGTCATCCCGTAGCTAGCTGGCAGGCTGCGGCAGCGCGGCGCCATACTGGCGTTGTAGACTAAAAAGCATATCCACAATGAGCTAGAATGGACGCAGAGTATGTGGACAAACCGCACGATTAGTGATGGGGAAGCTGTCCGTACCGAAGCGCCAATGCGCTCGTGCCCAGCCACGGGAAAGGCCTTCCTCCGTGCGATCTCAATTGGATCGGAAGTTCATGGATATCTCGTCTTAGGTAAAGCAGATTATAATTGAGCGAGTGTTTACATGTTTAGGTAACGACTGATTGCTGTGATTGCTGTAAAGACTGTGTTTTGAAATTCGCACCAAAAGGATAAGACAACGCTCTGCCTTCATCGCGCCTTGTAGTTGACCGTGACATGGCACCCGTCACAGTTGTCTGTGCCGAAGCTGCCTTTGTGATGTCCGCATTCATTTAAGATGCGCGTTGCTACATCCTTGATTTTCTGACCAGACACAGGGTGTGACACACTCGCCTTGTCATTCGTTGCGTACTTGACGTAGCAGGTTCCGTAGGAGAACTCTTGGTCGTGGCTGTAGGTGAGGCCGGCGTTGATGTTGTTGGCAATGGCATCGCGGCATTCAGCGATGAGAGGCGAATTGGTGGATCCTTTGCAGCTGAGAAGGTTAGTAATTTCGATTAACGGTGACGGCAAGAGGGTTGTGGTGGAAAGAGGTAGTAAAGAAAGCGCGCGCATCTTACTTGTTTGTGTAAG